CCTTACCAGTAAATGGAAGGCAGAAAATGGCGGACGCAATCAGTAAAGTCAATATGAAAGCTGCTTCAAATGATAAGCTTAAAGACAAATTGGAGGATTTAACAATTGCAGCTATTAGGAAGGATATAAAGAAGAGGAACACCCTTTGAATATCATCATGAAGGTCGCATTTTGGAATATTAGGGGGTTCAATATGCCCCTGAAACCAAATGGGGTACATCACCTCATAAAGCAGCAAAATATTGATATTTTTGGAGTTTTGGAAACGAAAGTTAACCAAGCAAAGATAGCGCGGATCATGGGGAATAAATTTAGTGGATGGAGTCAAGCAGACAATTTTCTCGCTCATCTGGCTGGCAGAATCTTGGTCCTATGGAATCCGTCAAAAGTGGATCTTTAAGTTTTGGAAACAAATCCTCAAGTGATGTATTGCTACATTACTTACAAGGTAATATCCATAAAATCATGCTACATGTACATTTTATTTGACAACAAGTTTGACATTGTGTCTCGTGTCTTGATATCATTGGACGGTTTTTAAAAAAAACACATGTTCCCGCCCATTACAATTTTAAACTCAATGGAGTGTAAACCACAATGTACACAAGAGAATGTACAAGTGGTTTTATCCATTTCCATATCATCTTGTATTAACTTTGTTTATGCATTTCATTCTATTGTTACCCGAAGACCTCTTTAGAGTAATATATTAGATTTGGTGTGGCTTGCTCGAGTCCTGGTTGATCTTGGGATATTTTAACAATCTCCTAAGATATGATGAAAAATGTAATGGAGCGGAAGTGACCCCGTATGAAATCAAAGACTTTGCGGATTGTTGCTTGAATGCGGGTCTTTCGGATTTAAGGTCCATTGGATGTTTTTATACATGGACTAAAAATTCACAAGGAAGTATACTTTCGGAGTGGAGTAAGATTGGTAGGGCTATGGTAAATGAAGCGTGATTACAAGCGGGTTTTCACGCCTTAGGGATTTTCAACCGGCAGGGTGCCTTTCGGATCACTCACCTTGTATTGTGTCTCTCTTTCAACATGATGGGGCAAAAGGCAAACATTTCAAATTCTTTAATATGTGGGCAGATCATGCTGATTTTAAAAATCAGGTTGCTACAAAATGGAACCAGCAGATTCAAGGTACAAAACAGTTTATTCTTTGCAAGAAATTACGAAGGTTGAAGGGAATTTTGAAGCAATTCAATCAAAGGGAATTTACACACATTTCGGCCAGGGTGGACATGTTGAAAATGGAACTTAAGGCAGCTCAATTGGAGCTGCAAGATCCGTCGAACAACCTAGATTTGCAAAGAAATGTTGCACGATTACGGAAGGAAACGATGGATATTTGTGAAGCAGAAAGAAGCTTCTACTATCAACGAGCAAAATGTGATTATTTGAAGAAAATTGACAAATGCGCAAATTTTTTTCACTCAATGGTGAGGAGGAATGCGAAATGGAATTTCATTGCGGCGGTTAAGAAGGAAGATGGTAGCCTCATGAATTCACAAGAAAAATGGCTAGTGAATTTGTTGGTTTTTATCATAAATTGTTTGGCACGGATGTCACTTGTGAACCTATTGATCATATCGCATTTGGGGAGCGGCCGACTTTCTTTGGACCAAGCTAACGCTCTTGATATGGATATCTTTACACAAGAAATGAAGGCTGCCTTGTTCGATATTGGCGATAATAAATCTCCGGGATTGGACGGATATACCTCAAGCTTCTTTAAAAAGGCTTAGGACACGGTAGGAGGCAATTTTACGGAAGCTATTTCAGAATTTTTCGAGTCATGTTCACTCCTTAAACAGATAAATCACAGCGTTATCGCCTTGATCCCTAAAGGTAACCACACTTCAATAGTTGGTTACTTTAGACCCATTTTATGTTGTAGTGTTGTATATAAGGCCGTCACTAAAATCTTGTCTAACAGATTGGTGCCTATTCTTGGTTCCACAATTGATTAGTCGCAATCCACATTTGTGAAGGAAAGGAGTTTGATAGAAAATGTTCACCTTCCACAGGAATTGTTAAGGCAATACAAAAGGAAAAGAACATCACCTGAATGTCTTCTTAAGATTGATCTAAGAAAGGCATATGATTCCATCGATTGGAGCTTTCTTAATTTAGTTTTGGAAGGATTGGGTTTTCCAGCGAGATTCATTCAGTGGGTGATGATATGTATTTTTACACCCTCTTACTCTATTGCTCTTAATGGAAGCTTATATGGTTTCATTAAAGGTAAAAGGAGGTTAGGACAAGGTGATCCCTTATTGCCATTTTTATTTGTGATTTGCCTTGAATACTTGTCAAGATCATTGAAGAGAGCCACTAGCAACAGTGAATTCAATTATCATCCAAAGTGTGGGCTCTTGAATATCACACATTTGGCTTTCGAAGATGCTTTGATGCTATTCTCCAGGGGTGATGTTATTTCAGTGCGCATATGGATGCATTGCTTGTCCAAGTTCAGTAATTGCTCGTGATTAATGGTTAATGTGAATAAATTCAATCTATATACAACAGCCATTCATGGGACAGATTTGGAGGTAATTCAGGATGTTGTGGGCATGCCTAAGAGGACCGTGCCGTTTAGATATTTGGGGATACCACTCGCCCGAAAAATTGAAAGTGAATCATTTTGCATCATTTTTGGATAAGATTACGGCACACATTAACACATCGACACGTATTTTATTGTCGTACGCCGGAATGGCCGAATTGGTGAGAGCCGTCTCTCAAGGAGTGGAATTTTTTGGTTATCTATATTTCCAATTCCGGCTGCAATTACATTGAGAATTACACAGCTTTGTTGGAACTTCCTTTGGAATTCCAAAAAGCCACTAGTTGCTTGGGCGGATGTGTCTTCCCAAAAGTGAATGAGGCTTGGGATTTCAAGACATCAAGAGTTGGAATAATGCATTGCTTGCAAAATCTCTTTGGAACATACATGATAAGGACACTCTTTGGGTCCGTTGGGTCAATCATGTGTACTTACGAGGGGCTTCAATTTGGAGTGGACACATAAGAAAGATGACTCTCCATTGTTTAAGAAACTACTGACCATTCAGGACCTGTGCATCCAAAATGAGGGAAGCGAGCAGGCTGCCATCCAGATATTGGTGAAATGGAAGTGTGGGGACAACCTTAAAGAGCCACAATCTTATGATTATTTTCGACCGAAGGGATCTACAAAATCCTGGGCAGCGGATGTGTGGAAGGGATTCATCACACTAAAACACTCTTTTATCCTTTGGTTGAGTGCCCAATCAAAGCTTACTTACCAAGGATAAATTACGGCACCTGGAGATTTCAAATTAAAGTAGGAACATTGACCAACAAAAATGATTTCAAATTGTCATTTTAAATTGTTGAACTCAAAATGGATTAGTAAGGGGGATTCGACATTTTAGCAATATTTCTCACATATTTGAAAACCAATTTTACTTGTTTTCACTAAGTAATAACTTAGAAATTAGTATAGATAAACTCAAATCACTTTTACTATTCGATTAAGGATATTATTAATTTTAACTCGATCAAATACGTAGTTCTCATGAGTTCGACACTCTATTCATCATTTTATTACTTGATTGCGATACCGTGCGCTTGCGGGATTTCAAAGGGTCAACTTCTATCTGAACATAGTGGACTCCGGACTGGTCTTCTTCCCAGAATGTCCTTGCTGTTTATTTATGGAGTGCTTCAAATAGTAAAGTGAGTTCCCATTGATTGCACTTTTGTCAAACACACTTTTGATCGCTTATCATCTGTTAGCTCAATGGGAATAACATTGTGATTAACCCATGCTTATGTGCGACGAGGTTGTGTGATTTGGGACCTAATGACAGTGTCTGCTCTGTCCAATGTACAAGAGAGGGGTCATATATACCAATTGCCACAAATTTCGGTGAAGTTCAGGTAGTACTCTTTCGTCTTCTTTATCAGAACTGAACACGAGTTAAATGGCTCTTTGCATTGCACACCCGGTTTGAATAGACATATCTTGATGGTTTTGTTGTTCGAGTTTGGGATGGGATGGGATTGGAATCAATGCAACAGTGTTAGAACAATGGGAGGACATCAAACAAGAACCGGAGTACTAGCATGGTCTTAGTGTATATCATAATCAGGAAGCAGAGATCGAAACATACTTCAACACGATCTTTGTGTTCCAAGTGGAGAACGATAAATTCTTTGCATTTTCATGTTTTGGGATTCTGCTATTGGTGTGGAATCAGCACTCCCAGCAACCCATTTTGAAACTGACAGAGCATACAGCTGCTGTGAAGGCCATTGCTTGGTCGCCTCACCAAAATGGCCTTCTTGCTTCCGGAGGAACTGCTGATCAGTGCATTTGCTTTTGGAACACAACTAGCGGCAATCAAATAAATGGCGTGGATACCAAAAGCCAGGTTTATGCTCAAGGTTTCTATTCTTTCAAAGTTACCACGCTGAAGAAATTAAATTTAATTCATGTTTCTTATAGTGAAATTGTTTCAAGAAGTTTGAGATAAATAACTAATACAATCCAGTAACTGAATTTGTAGGTATGCAATCTAGCGTGGAGTAAAAATGTAAATGAGCTGGTCAACAGTCATGGATATTCCCAGAATCAAATTATGGTGTGGAACTATCCATCAATGGCAAAGGTGGCAACTCTGACTCTACCTTGCATATCTCCTGATGGGCAGACAATAGTGACCGACTGACCGGAGCGGGGGATGAGACACTGAGGTTTTGGACTGTTTTTCTATCTGTGAAGACAACGGTAAGTGAAGCATAAAAACCATCTTTCAAAACTGTCCTAATGACGACTAATGTAATCTGAGAAATATGACTGTAACTGCCGCCTGTCTTCTCAGCTACAATTATTTTACATTGAATTTTTCAGGCACCGGTTAAGGATACTGGGCTGTAGTCTTGAGGCAGAACTCAAATTTGATGAAAGGATCTTTGAATTATTATGAAAATGTGAATATATACACTCAATCTGTGCAGTATTTATATCATTATATGTCAGACGACAACAAACATGAACTAATAAACAAAATATACTCTCTGTGTTGAAGACGAGAGAAACAGGAGGAAATTGTTCGTGCATTATGGCCATACGAGGATGGATTTGTACAGAGTTAAGGTGCCTCAAAATTGTTTTGAACCAAAAATTTGAATATGATGTTAATCAATTTCCTTGCACAACGAGAAGAAAACTTCAGACATTTTAAGGTGTAGTCAAAGAATTAGCTGAAATATCTACTTCCTCATTACACCATGCAGCCCTTTCTAATGCTTCACCCGAAACATGCACATTGATGGGTTCAGCATTCAAGTACATAACCGTATATTTATGGAAGAGGACGAGGATAGAAAGTGTACGACTCAGAAATCAATATACGAGGTTGAAATTCTGCGCCCTATTGCAATGGATTCGATGAAACTCTGCAGCAGTTTTTGCCTAACCTTGTAATAAGTCCACTAACCCATGATTCTATCAGAACATTAACTGCTAACGAAATATCACAACCAGTGTTAACATCCTGAAACGAAATAAAAGCTATTTTATCCAGAAATAGGATGCGCGAAGATCTTGATTATCTTCAAATTTTTGCCCCATATGACAAGCAATCATGTCATGCAACAGATATGATAACCAATAATTTAAACTCGTCAGGTGCTGACTTAGAGAGTCAATAACGACATTGGCCTAATTAGGAGGCAGAGAGGTTACGAAATTCAACAGAACAACACATAATGTTACTGGTTGTTATCTACACATTGAATGAAAATATTCTTTTCCTGGAAAATAAAGCTAAATAGCAGCCTTCTAATGTTTTGGCAAATTAGATAGGACAATTTATCTATAGTCACTAGCATAACATCCTTTAAAAAAGGTACTTTGCATACATTATTTTATTTTTACACACTAACAGAGTTATGACTGACTAAACACGAGTACTAACTAGAGTGTTGACATGAGCTAAGAATGGTATCCTTTCTTTACGGCTTCAATGAACGCAGGCCTATTTGGTGGTACAAGGATCCCCAGAGAAATTAGCTGCTTGATCCCCCAGATTGATGATCACCAGAGCTACCCATTTATTTTCAGGCCAAAGTGCAATGGAGAGTATCCACGAACCTGCTTTCGCTAAAACCGCTTACGGACCATCCTCAAGAAACATTGACTCTTCAAATGGTACTTGTATTAAATACTGATTGTAATATTCTGTAGACTAATAATATGAAATTAAATTGTAAGCAAAACAACCTGGTCTAGAAGATGGATCAATACCTCGGCGGATATTCACAGTAAAGACAAGTTGATATCGACAACATGTGCAGCAACCATTAGCTTGCCTTCCCATAAATTCTATCTAACAAATTCAATAAGCCGGCCTCCAAGAAGAAAGTGCATATAAGATACGCCCCTTCCACCCTTGCAACATCCAGAGGCCATCTTCATCGATCACAAAATCCTTGTGGTAGGATGATGTAACCCGGTGCTTTGCCATCCTCATTATCTCTTCATTCAGAGGAAGCTGTTCGAATCCAGCCCTGATATTTCGAACCTGCCACTGCTTGTATGTCTCTGGTCTCTCAATTCTTTCTGCGGCTTCACATGCAATGACATTCATTGCTTCCTGCCCAAATATTGTTTTCTCCAGCAGCATCCTCTCGTGAATTTCACGAGGAATATTAGCCTCAAGCATGTCAAAAAATGATGAATAATGAAACAGAGCCTCACGGAATCTTGTGATAAAGAAGGGAGCATTGTAAGCACCATTCAATATCCCCTGCACAAAAATATCTGGACTAGTTTTCCTGATAAGGTTCAGAACAATATTTCTCGGACTGTTTACTACAACAGTTTCATCAAGCAGATTCCTAAACCTGTAAAGGCAATTCACCACCACAACCTCATCTTTGCTAACCATAAGATCCTCAATCTTAATAGTTTCCCACTTCTGCGCTATAGCATTGAACTCGAATGGAACGTTAAAAGTCTCAGCATAACTAGCCAAGCGCCGTCCTGTCTCTTCAACCCTTTCCGATGGTCGAAACCCTGGACATGGAAAATCAATCCCAGTGATACGAAGCTTGGGGGGACCACCAGGCCTAGACGAGAGCCGTTGTAGAAAGCAAGGCCATTGAAAACCATAGAGAATACCAAAATCAATAATGTGAAGCCTTGTGGCATTTTTAGCCGCATTCATAATGGTCTTATTTGCAAAGAAGTTAGAGATCTTCCTAAATGGACAGGTAGCAAGATATATATGGTAGGCTTTCAAGATGTCAGCAGCTGATGTGGGCAAATTGATAAGGGCTTTGTAGATCTGAGTCCCAGATCCAGCCATACGTGCTTCAAGACCATCAGCAAACCAGTGGGCAAGCCTCTGCATCCCGTCTCCCGTGGGAGTTGAATGTTGTCGGATCTGCTTCAAAAACTCATTAGCAGACCTTCGGTCATCAACTGCAACAGCTTGTGCACAAAGGGTCAAAAGGGCTCTCAAATCAACCACATTCCTTCTGCCTCCCGGTTTCTTGCCACGGCTTTTCCCACCATTAGACCCCTTAGTTTGATTATTTTGCGGAGCATTTTTAGTTACTTCATGCTGCAATGCTTTCCGAAGTGCAGATTCATTTCTTCCTTCACTGCATAGAAGCACCATATCAAACATTTCTGGACTCGCAGTCGATTCATTATAAACAGCTGTCTGTTTGTTATTCCTCTCCACGTGCATACTCAAAGTCTCTTGATACGGATTCTTCTTACCCCTTGACAGATCAGCACAGTCCTCATTGTCAAATTTCTTTTCCACCTTAACTACCAAACCAGTTGTCCCTTCCTTCTGCTCTTTCCCCAATAATTCACCATACCTCAAATCAACTGCCAAACTATTGCCTTTAGGAAGAAATTTAGCAGCTTCCTCAACCCCCTTGTTAAATTGCATAACCAATTGGCTATCACTAAATGTATTAGGAATTTTAATTGTACTTAAGGGAGAATCTGCCGGACCATCAGTGAAGGTACTCGCACTACTTGATGGGCTAAAAGATGAGTGAGAAGTCAATTGTGAAACAACACCAACAGAAGAATGTTGTTCGTCAAATACAGTGCAATTAGGATCAGAATTCCAGTCTGGGTATAAGTCAGCATTACCAGCAGCATAATAATTTATAAAATCTCCTGAAAAGTTTTCATCGGAGTTTTCAACATTCTGATCCCAATTTGGGACTCGCAGATAATCTGTGGAAGCAGGATACTGCCCCCCAAGAACTTCGTAGAATGATTTCTCTGCAGCTAGAAGAGCTTTAGACTCTTGAAACATGCAAGCTTTCTCTTCCACATCCTCTTCCATAAGGATATGGTTTATGTACTTAAGCACCACATCACTAAAATCATAATCCTCGAGGGTATCAGCATCAGATGATTGGACTAAAGTATTAGATTTCAAATGACTGGAAAATGGGGCAACATCAGCATAATTATCATTTGAGAAACTATTGCTGACTATCGAATTGTTTATCAGATTTGGATCTGGAAACACCGAAACGGCTTGGTTATCATATTTGATACCAGATGTTGTCTCATTATAACACCTAAAATTCCGATCCATGACCATCTAGTTTGCAGTATTCTAATCGATATAGAATATACCCAAATCCCAAAATCTTATAATTTCAAATCAAGATTCTCTTTCAATCTCCTCTTCAACTTTACCGCCAGCAATACAGAGCTAGACCTTTTCCAAGAAGAGAAATTTTGATACATCAAAATTCAAAACAAAGAAACAGAAATCCTGAAACAACCACAGAGCAAAAAATAAAACGAAAAACTGGATCAATTGAGGAAACCTTTAAGCCATCAAAAATAAATCTTTATCCAACAAACAAAGTCATCTCATGCATACTTTTCAGTACAAATTCGACAAAAACAAAAGATAGATTGATTCAAAACGACAACTTAGGAAAAAAATCAATTTGACCAGAAAGTTAAAACCTTCAATCTCAAGAATTCCACAAATAAAAAAAAAATTAACCTCAGATTCCTGCATACTGGAAATCATTCGTATCGTACTTGAAACAGTAACTGAGCATAAAAATTACCAGGAAAAGGGAAAAGGGGAAGAGAGAGTGATATTGAAGTACAGTTGAATATAGGTAGTTTTGAGGATGAAATGGTGGATTTTTGATCTCTGAGCCTTCGAACGTTTTCTAGATAATCTAATGGCCGTGGCATAAATTGAACTGGCTGATTGTCAACTATTACATGATTTGGTTTTGCTTTCGATTAAATAATTACGACGAAAAGACAAGATTTTCTAGAATTAATACAATGATTTCCCTCCATTTAACATCTTGTCTTCACATTTTGTCCATTTCCTAAATTCTTGTCACGCCAAGTTTGACGTAAATATCTTTCTATATATAAAAAGTGTCTATTTAACGGAATTTGTTGGTTTAACGGAAAAACTAACGGAATTTGTTGTTTTAACGGATTATGTAACAAAATTTCTTATT